AATGGAAGATAAAATGGAAATTGTCATGGCGGTGGACACCAGTTCGGAAAGGGTTGTAATGTAGTTAAATTATGGTAATGATTATGATATTAATAATGGTAAGAGTGGTGGTGGTAATAATGATGATAATTATATTGATATTATTATTAATAGTATCATTGTTATTATTATTATCATTATCATTATTATCTTATTATCATTATTATTATCATTATTATTATCAATGGTAATAATAATAATAATGATAATAGTAATAATAATAATAATATTGATAATAATTTTGATAATGATAATAATAATAATAATAATAATAATAATAATAATAATAATAATAATAATAATAATGACAATAATAATAATAACAATAAAAATCATCCTCATTATCATAATGATAATGATAATAGTTATAACAACAACAATAATAATAATAATGATAATAGTAATAATAATAATAATGATAATGATAATGATAATAATAATAATAATAAGAATAATAATAATAATGATAATGATAATGATAATAGCAATAATAATAATAATGATAATAATAATAATAATATTGATAATAATTTTGATAATGATAATAATAATAATAATAATAATGATAATGATAATGATAATGATAATGATAATGATAATAATAATAATAAGTAAATACTATGATGAAGATATACTATGATAAATATATTAATATGCAAATAACACTAAATAAATACGAATATGATGAGTAAACATAATATAATGAACAGATAAACAGACAGATAAATATATGCACAGAAAAGTAATTGCAAGTCCATTAAAAATACATAACATCTACTAACCATGTACAATTAAAACTATATACATAAATACATCAAACAAGAAGAAAGCAAAGAACTAACTAGACTAAATGATGCAACAAGTAGTCTAAAACCAGAGCAATAGAGAACAACAACAGAAAAGACTGCAACTTAACAACCAACTTACCAATTGGTCATCCACGTAAATGCCAATTCGCTGTTTGTTCACAATAATTTGTATCTTGAACGTTTCCTCCTGCATAGCTAAGAAGAGAAGGAATAATAAAAGAGAGTGTTTATATAAAAATGAAACATAATGGAATGTTTTGTTAATGGAAGATAAAATGGAAATTGTCATGGCGGTGGACACCAATTCGAAAAGGGTTGTAATGTAGTTAAATTATGGTAATGATTATGATATTAATAATGGTAAGAGTGGTGGTGGTAATAATGATGATAATGATAACGATAGTATTATTTGATCTGGATGATAATATTAATGGTAGCGATAGTAATGATGATAATGGTAATGATTATAATTGTAATAACAGTAATAGTAGTAGTCATTATAATTATAATGATAATGATAATAAGTTTTATTATTCAGTTTTATTTCATTTTTTATACTACATGTTTTTTTCTTAAATTCAGTAATGTTTTTTAAAGTGAGTTTTCATTTTACTATTATCTTTGCTTATTTTGGTTTCTAATTTATTTTTTAACGTAAGTCTTAGAGATGCTTTCAACTTTAATTTTTATTACTTCATTGCGTTGCAGTTTTATTAATGCTGGATCAAAACCACGCCAAAATTAGCTCCTCTGATAATAATAACACTAATAATAATAATAATAATAATAATAATAATAATAATAATAATAATAATAATAATAATAATAATAATGATAATGATAATGATAATAGCAATAATAATAATAATAATAATAATAATAATAATAATAATAATAATAATAATAATAATAGTAGTAGTAGTAATAGTAGTAATAATAATAATTCTGAAAAATAAAGATAATGATAATTATAATATTGATAATGAAAAAATAATGATGATCATGATGATAATAATGATAATGATAATAATAATGCCAGTTCAATACGTGGACATGAACGTACTCCTAACTGATTTACATAAAGAGTAACCACTAAGCTTGTGCACAGCTTTGCATTTTTTATTGCTGAGATTCTACTTTTTCAAAAGCAATTTGTTGCAAAAAAAATTCTGTCTAAAAATATAGTTTTGAAGCATTTTTTTACCGAAATATGCGTCGTCTGCTAATTTACACATTAAAATTCTGTTCGCAGCGCCATCTCTTGGAATTAGTTGCGATGACGTCATGAGTTGTGTTAGTGTCAGTGTTCTGTATTATGGCTATGGCGTGTCTTCATCATCCTGTGTTAATAGCTTTTCAAGTCTGGACTCTATAAGCATTTCCGATAACAGTGAAGATGTATGGCATGTTTGGCAAGACGGTGTTGTGCTTGGTTACCAATTTGAGCCCGAATATTTGTCTTAAGAGGAGCTCTTGGAGTCCGCGGCATTTCCCTTCTCTCATGTCTCTAACGTTAGTTTAGTAGGGTATTCTGAGGTACTATTGATGAGTCTATACGGCGTCTAGGCTCGCCATCGCTCGACATGATGCGAAATGCAGTTTAGCCTACACTGTAAACAAAACGTCCAGTCTATGTACAAGGCATGTAGGGTGCACTGCATGCTTCCAGTGTGACTGGTCATATTAATTAGATATCAGTGTGTCAAGGTCCTGATCCTGTAAAATGTCATCATGCCATGCAAGCTATGGCCATGAACATGATTTAATTAATACAGCTGGGGTTAGTGGAGATGATTAGCGATTCCTTTGCAGGTTTTCGAAGTCGATCGTACCGAAGAAAATGGGGCCTAGTCCAATAGGCCTGTGATCTGGTTGGCCTGGCCCTAACTGTTAGCAAATTCCTATGTTAAAATACATCTTAACTGTGGTTTTGATTTTTACAGGTACAAGTGTGACAGATGTGAGCTATGTGAAACTCCAGAGGAAAACATGTGTTACACAGAAAAGATGCCAATATAGGAAAAAATTGATGAGTACAACGACAATTTTGGGGGAAACATTAAGTGCATTACACAGCATCCAGGTTTCATATCTAACTGTCTGGATGGCTGGGTTCTGCAGAATGTTTATGATCGTTTCAAACTGCAACATAAACACAGATTTGAAGGAGAAACCAATGAGTGTGTTAAATTAAATAATTAAATATATTTTTACAGATACACTATTAATAATATTTACATCTATATATCTACAAATTTGTACAATATTAATAACAATATTACTAGAACATCTTTTTTATTTCAAACTGGCTATCACAATAAATCTTTCAAAAATTATATACAGTTAAGTTCATTTTTTTCCACTCTTTATTGCAGGAAGTATAGATACACTGCATACCGCCAACTAGTAAGATGGTGCTGAAAAATATTAGGCAAGAACAATCGTTTGCATACAAAATATCACACGAAAATATCACACAAAAGGTTCTCATCCATGCATTCACGGCGATGACAAAGAATTTGAACACAACGCATGACGTCATTCCCGGGTTGGTAGCGCTACTGCTAATATTTGTAGCAGACGACGTTTTGGGCCCAGAATTTGTTCATTCAAAAGACCATAAATATAAAGCGTTTTTTTATTCATTTTTTTTTTTTTTTTATCTTATGCATTATTTGGAGGTACAAGAACAAATTCTGAGATGAATATCATACATTTAATTCACATAGTGGTTACTCTTTAACTGTTTCCTTACATTTAATATTCATGAATAAAAGTACATGTATTCATCCATTCATGTAGGCAGAGAAGTATGTGTGAGTGTGTGTGTGTGTGTGTGTGTGTGTGTGTGTGTGTGTGTGTGTGTGTGTGTGTGTGTGTGTGTGTGAGTGAGTGAGTGCGTATTTGTGTGTGTGTGATTGTGCAGTTGAGTATGTGTGTACGCGTCTGCGAATGCTAATATCACCAAAACTTGGAGAGTCACCTAAACAGCAAATAGGCCTACGTACCAGAAATTTTCCTCCATTCCGTTGGGAAATTCCGCCTCGCATACACATCCCTTGTCGCGCGGGCGTGAATCAGTAAGAAAACCACGATTTGAATCCCAAACGCCCATTTTTCAATAGCCATTCTTCAAAACACAATGCAATAAATAAGATTATATTCTACCTATCTTTCTTTTTTTTCTGTTTCTTCCTTATTCATTCTTTATTCCGAAGAGTGTATAACAACACGAATGTCTGTGATACGAGCGCACGCCAAACGATTTACACGTGTTTTTTCCTTTTGCCGCTATTTTTGTCTTAATGAAAATGTTACACCCGATGAGGAAATTATCTTTTCTATTCTTAATCGTATTTTCATCCGTTTTCCTTCTCTCTCTATATATATATATATATTTATATCTCTCTATCTTTTCTCTCTCCTTCTTCCTTTTCTTTGTTTTATTTTATTTTTCCCCGTGTCTCCTTATATTTCTCCAGAAAACACAGCTTATTTGAAAAATAATACATATTTACAAGAACTTCTATTTGAAACTATAAAAGGTGATGATTATGAAGATGAAGATGTAGGTAATAAAATTCAGGATAATGAATACGGTGATGAAATGATAAAAAAGGGAATGATGATGAGCATAATAACAATATGATAATAAATATGAATGATAATGATAATAATTGATACTAATGATGATAATAATGATAATAGTAATGAAAATAATAACGATAATGATGATAATAATAATGAGGAGGAGGAGGATAATAATAACAAGGATGATAGCAATGATGATAATAACAAAAATAATAGTAGTAGTTAGTAGTAATAATGATCAGGGCCGGATCTAGGATTGTTAGAAAGGGGGGGCGTAACCCCTAGCCGAGACGATTGCGAGATAGAATAGATGATGATAACAACAATGATAATAATGATAGTAATAATAATGATAACAGTACTTCTTATAATAGCACTAATAAAACTAATAACGATGGTGATAATGATAAATGTATCAATGAATGTGATAATGGTAATGATAATGATAATGTAATAATAATAGTAATAATAATATAACGATAATCATAAAAATGACGAAAAAAATAATGATACGGAAAATAACAATAAGGATTCTATTCATGGTCATACCTCGATATTATTAGAAATGTTGTGGTTCGGTAAATGAACAGCCTTTTTTAACAGTCGTAGGGGAGTTATATCGAGGGTATCCACGTCCAAAGGTGTTCACAGATCAATTGCGTTTATTAGCTATTTTGTTGCTTTAAGCTTCCGTCGAAAACATGAGCATTGATATCTCTACTTTGCAGTCATGAGATGGAATGCATTAACGTGAATATATATGTAATAAATGAAGGTTTAAATTGAAAAAAAAAACTGATGATGAAATTATTCACGCATGCCTTTTGCAATTGTTGAATTGGACAATTCAGTATTTATCTGTACATTTGATCCAACTGGTAATGCAATCTCCTGTTGCAAACTGCAGGCATATCTACAACGAAGGGAAGTTAAGGTCAGTGGTATGAATATTTAATAATGAATAATTTTCATTAATATGTTTATTATTATCATTATGTCGCTACTATTATCAGTATGGTTACCACTGATCTATATGTTTATGTCTTTATCAATTTATTTATTTCTGTGTTTATATGTCTACCTTTTTGTATATATTTTTTTATATCTGTCTTTGTTTGTCTCAATTTTTCATTGCCATTATTATGATTATAATTTTTATTGTCAATTTGATTATTTTGATTATCTTGTCTTATTCCCTCTCTCTCTCTCTCTTTCTCTTATTTTCTCTCTCTCTCTCTCTCTCTCTCTCTCTCTCTCTCTCTCTCTCTCTCTCTCTCTCTCTCTCTCTCTCTCTCTCTCTCTCTTTCTCTCTTTCTCTCTCTCTCTCTCTCTCTCTCTCTCTTATTTTCTCTCTCTCTCTCTCTCTCTCTCTCTCTCTCTCTCTCTCTCTCTCTCTCTCTCTCTCTCTCTCTCTCTCTCTCTCTCTCTCTCTCCCTCCCTCTCTCTTTACACACACACACACACACACACACACACACACACACACACACACACACACACACACACACACACACACAGCGTTTTCAAAATAGTGTGATAGGGTGGGGCTTGGTGCTTCATAAGGTGATATTTGTATAATTTTAGAATAATTTCTGTTCAAAACAAACAAATGCGCTAAACATCAAAGGTCATATAGGCTTTTGATAGAGTATTTTGGCGAAAAGGGTGAAAACGAGTTAACGATTAGGATAAGTGGACAGAAGAAGGAGATGAAGACAAGAAGGAATAAGATAAGAAAGAGGAAGGAGAAAAGACCATTGGGTGTCTTCGTCTCCTAACCTCCCCTCCCCCCCATGACAACAAGCAAGGGATGGGGTTGGGGGTTGGGGTTGGGGGGGGGGTGTACACAACACTCTCTCCGTCCAATACTTTTTGGTTTCTGAAGCATATTACATTTAAAAAAATATGGAAGGAAACAAAATCAGATCTAATTAATATATACATTTATTTTTCATTAATCTCATAAAATCCTCTCCGACATCACCTTTTTCATAAATTATTACCTTCACCTTTTTTCTTCTTCTTGTTCTTCCTCTTCTTTATCTCTCTTTCTTTCTTCTTCTTACTCTTCCTCTTCTTTATCTCTCTTTCTTTGTTCTTGTTGTTCTTCCTCTTCTTTATCTCTCTTTCTTTCTTCTTCTTGCTCTTCCTCTTCTTTATCTCTCTTTCTTTCTTCTTCTTGTTCTTCCTCTTCTTTATCTCTCTTTCTTTCTTCTTCTTGTTCTTCCTCTTCTTTATCTCTCTTTCTTTCTTCTTCTTGTTCTTCCTCTTCTCTCTCTCTCTCTCTCTCTCTCTCTCTCTCTCTCTCTCTCTCTCTCTCTCTCTCTCTCTCTCTCTCTCTCTCTCTCTCTCTCTCTCTCTTTCCTTCAGTTCACGCTCGCTATTTTCTCGTTAAACACATGGGTGCCGTTATGGTAAACATAGAGTAGATTCCGCATATAAAACTCTTCTTCGGGAACGACCACAGGGAAGCGTTCTAGATAGTAAGGTGGATAGTTCTGGATCTGCCAAGGATAATTCTGATCACTGACCATGTTGACAAGTTCGGGGGAAGGACGGAGGAGATTCACGCCAGTTTTCGTTTCGCTGAAAGAAAACGGGATGTGTTTAGTTTTCGTTAGGTTTTCGTGTGTTTGTTTGTTTGTTTGTGTGTGTGTGTGATTGTGTGTGTGTGTGTGTTTGTGTTTGTTTGTGTTTGTTTGTTTGTTTGTTTGTGTGTGTGTGTGTGTTTGTGTGTGTGTGTGTGTGTTTTGGCTTGTTTGTTTCTTTAGTATATATTTCTTTAAGTTCTATGTTTTCTATCGGGTCTATGCTATGCTATTTTTTCCCTACCTTCCGCTGTTTTTTTGTTTTTTGTTTTTTGCTTTTTGTTGTTGTTGTTGTTGTTTTTTTTATCTCTCCCCTCTATTTCTCCTTCCTTGTCTATCCTTCGACCAATTTTCCCCCCACCCCCCACCCACCTTCCCTTCCCTCAATCTCTCATCCCTTCCCTCAATCTCTCCGTCTTCCTCTGATTTTCCCATTTTCTCACCATTTCTCCTACTCCCCTTTTCTCCCTCTTCCTCTGATTCTCCCTTTTTCTCATCATCTCTCCTACTCCCTTTTTCTCCATCTTCCTCTGATTCTCCCTTTTTCTCCTACTCCCTTTTTCTCCCTCTTCCTCTGATTCTCCCTTTTTCTCATCATCTCTCCTACTCCCTTTTTCTCCCTCCCTCTGATTCTCCCTTTTTCTCCCTCTTCCTCTGATTCTCCCTTTTTCTCATCATCTCTCCTACTCCCTTTTTCTCCCTCTTCCTCTGATTCTCCCATTTTCTCACCATCTCTCCTACTCCCTTTTTCTCCCTCTTCCTCTGATTCTCTGATTCTCCCATTTTCCCACCATCTCTCCTACTCCCTTTTTCTCCCTCTTCCTCTGATTCCCCCATTTTGTCACAATTTCTCCTACTCCCTTTTTCTCCCTCTTCCTCTGATTCTCTCATCTCCCCTACTCCCCTTTTCTCCCTCTTCCTCTGATTCTCACCATCTCTGCTACTCCCCTTTTTCTCTCCCCTTGTTCCCTCTCCCTTTCTCCCCTTCTCCCCCCTTCAGACACTTACCAATAGAGAGACATAGGACACCCGACGATGTACAGGATACGCCCCTTCAAGTTGTACCTTACAGTGCCACGGAACATCTCTCTCGTGTCCTGAATATATCCATGGAGGCACTGAGTTGGAGGGGGGGGGAAGAAATTATTATAGAAATACGTCGTTAAAAGGTAAGAGAAAAATAAGTTATTTTAAAGATACGTCGCTAGAAAGTCGGAAAAATAAGATATTATAGAAATACGTCACTAGAAAGTAAGAGAAAAAGAAGTTATTATAGAGATACGTCACTAGAAAGTCGGAAATATAAGATATTATAGAGATGCTTCGCTAGAAAGTTAGAGTGAGAAGAATTAGTTATTATGGAGGTAAGTGTTAGAAAAATTAGTTATTATGGAGAAAGTTAGAGTGAGATTTGGTAATTATGGAGGTAAGTGTCAGAAAAAAATAGTTATAATGAAGATGGGGTCACTATAAAGTTGAAGTGAGAAGAATTAGTTATTTGTTATCAAATATTAAGTTTAGTGTCGGGAAAAATAAGTTTTTATGGAGATACGTCACTAAAACATTAGAGTGGGACGAATTAGTTATTATGGAGGTTAGTTAGTATAGAGATACGTCACTAGAAAATTAGTTACGAGGGTTAGTGCCAGAATTAGTTATTATGAAGAGAAGTGTCAGAAAAATAAGATATTATGGAGATACGTCGCTAGAAAGTTAGTTACGAGGGTTAGTGACAGAAAAAAATCAGTTATAATATAGATACGTCACTAGAAAGTTAAAGTGAAAATAATAAGTTATAATCAAGATACGTCGTTAGAAATTTATCATATGTTATTACCTATTATTAGCATTAATGACATATATAGCAGGGGCTTCAAAGTGACTGAAAACGCGATACCAAAGCGTTAATTGATAATGGCATTTGCTGGAAGATTAATTGTGACGAAAGCTTGAAATACAATGAATGGACGTGGAGTTTATGTCATACTGGGATATCAATTATCTATTTTCTAGAGTGCAATTATTATTTATTGATAGATTTATTTCTTTTAGATGTTTTAGCAGTGAGGTTTGAGCAGTTTTATTCGAGAAAAAAGGGGTATTGTTGAATAATGGTGATGATGATAGCGATGTAGTAATGTAATGTGATTCGAGGTGATGGTAATGATATGATGATGTTGATGACGATGATGAGAATGAGAATAATGATAGCAGTGATGGTGATGAAGATGATGATGGTGAAATAAATAAAAGTGTATATATATGTATATATATATACATATATATATACATATATATACATATATATACATATATATATATATATATATATATATATATATATATATATATATATATATATATATATATATTTATATGTATATATTATATATATATATATATATATATATATATATATATATATATATATATATATATATATATATATATATATAAATGTATATGCATATATTTATACATATGTGTGTATATATATATATATATATATATATATATATATATATATATATATATATATATATATATATATATATGTATGTATGTATATATATATATATGCATGTATATATATGTATATAATGTATATACATATATATATATATATATATATATATATATATATATATATATATATATATTAAAGAAATTATGATAACCGACAATTTTAATGTTGGCATAATCAAGCAAACGTCAAAACTGTTGCTATTATTCCTTATCATAGTCGTGGCCTTCTACCATCCACTGCAACATTTCCTGCTTACTGCGTGGGAAGTTTGAATTTCTAATAAGCCAACAAAATGAAACAAGAACAGTTGTGGTGCCCTGAGTGACGGATTCACGCTCATACGATCTCTGGGTGAAGTTGGTAGAACAAGTTGTTAGTGTGTTGGTAGGTAGTTGGTAGAACACGTGTTAGTGCTGCCTCGTGTTCCCCAGCCCCCTACCAGGAAACTCACCGATTGCATTACGTAAAAGCTGTCATATTCGTCGTTATTGGTCTTCGCCTCCACAAAGATCTTGAAGGGTCCAGGCTGAAGATAATAAGAAATGATGAATTATTTAACAAGTGTACAATAACCTTTCATAGTGACTGTGTAAAACTTACTTCCATACTGATGGGTTCAAATGCATCCTACACATGGTCATGATCAAGATCTGGATCAAAGTGATTATCTTGAGTCCAGAAGGAAAAAAAACTATATTGTTTCTTTTATTCTGATTTATAACGTTCTAAGCACACTCAAAATAGCATTCATGGGACCAAATATAGTTCCCATAAAACACAAAATAAAATAATATTCAATCCTCAAAATCAGCAACTCTATTAATCATTAATCTTTCCTGCACCATATCCCATGTTAGACGTCGGAGTGTAGACTTGTAAGCAAAGTGGTAGAAGTTACAAGCAGAAGGTGTTGTATAGAAAGCACAGGACCTATGGCTTACTACCTTTTGAATAGGATGGTGCCAGGGAGAATGGCACAGGTGACTTTAGACATGCATACGACGCCTACTCTTTACAATAAACTGTCCCTGTGAACGGAGTAACTGACTCAAATGCGACTGCAGGTACATGTCCTATGGAGAAGGTTTGGTAATAGCATGATCAGTGGGTGGTTATCCCTTTTGCTAACTTTACTAGCGATGAACACGACTTCTCCTTAGCAACAGAGGTTGTTCCACTCGATAAACATAAAATGGTGCTTAGAATTACAACCTAGCTTACTGTCTTGAATGCCCCCTCCCATCCCCTACGTAAACCCAACGTGAAAGAGAAGGTCAAAGGTCAAAGGCAAGACTCACTGTGTTGGGCGGGAGAATCGGGCCATCGCAGGGGGACTTTGTCAAGGTGAGAGGGACAGCCCGTTCAATGTCTCGCCGGATCTTGGCTTCGTATCGATCCCTGGTCAGGCTGAGAAAGACGCAGAAAAAACATGGAATTGATAATTGACTCATTTTTGAGGAAAGTGATTTGGCAAGTTATGATGGAACGATATCGGAAGTTATTAATTCTGATTTTTTTTTTTTTTTTTTGCTAATTATCCACGATGAAAATGAAAAAAATAAAATAAAATAATATTTAGCTCTACGATAAAAGCAAATAGCAGAAATATTAATCAAATGCATTAACAAGCATGCAGAGTTCTTATTAATCATATTCAGACGACAATGATAATAAGGACCACACATCAAGAGAAAGACCCCGAAATATGCAGGGTAATGATTATAAACATACATACACAACATAAAGACAAAAAAAAATAGACCACAAAATCTCACCGAGTCCTTAAACCAGCCTAAACAAGACAACAAAAAACAACAAGAAAAAACTCACTCATTGAGCCCTTTGAGCTTGACATGAGGATCCTGGTTGAAGATCATGTTACTGAAAAGGTGTTCCTGCGCCCACCCAGTCACATGGGCTCCTGCTGCTCCTGCGTGGAAGGTCCTGCTCACTTCGGGCAGTAGGGCGTCCCTTCCCTGACGCTGCCTTGCTCCCGAAAGCCACCAGTCCCAATCAGCTGTTTCCTGTAGGCGGGGGGGAGGGATTAGAGGCAGAAGGGGAGAGGAGGAGAGAGTGAAAAAGGAAGGAGAAAAAGGGGGAGAAGGGGGGATGACACAGAAGAAGGCACAGGAGGAAGGGGAGAAGAAATAGGAAGGAGAGAGAAGGAAGAGAGGAAGAAAAGGAGGGTGTAGGAGAGAAAGGATAGGGGAGGCAAGGGGCAGGAGTGATGAAGAGAGGGAGGGAGGGATAATAGGGGAAAGGAGAGTGGATAGGAAGGGAGGGAGAGAGACAGGGTAAGAAGAGAAAGGGGATGAAATAGATGTAGGGAACCGAAAAGAAAGTAGTAGGTAACATGTTAGACGGAGGAAGGAAGGGAAAAGGAGGAAAAAGAAGGAGGAGGAGCAAACAAAATGAGAGAAGGGAGAGACAGATAGTAAAAAAAAAAGAAGCAAATAGAAAGAAGTAAAATCCAAGGAATAGATAAAAGGCGAGAACAAATTGTACAAAAAAAATGTTGTATAAACCACTTTCACATGCCCTACAATCTCTCATATGCATAGCCATTGCACGCTTTTGCAAAATCCAGAAAGAAAGAACCACAATATGAAACATGAAACTTTCCTCTTGCACATTACCCTTGTATAGACACTTCAAGGAACCAATACTTAAATAGACACCTCCTATATACATATATTTTCAATGAAGCAAAAGTAATATGAACACCCTTGCGCATACTCCCAGGGAAGCAGTAAGAAAGTGAACATCTTTGCACATATTTTCGAGGAAGCAGAACGAAAATGAACACCTCCTATATACACATTATCAGGAATTCAATAAAGTGAAATAAACACATTCTCCCTTATAACCATCCACACGAACTCAACCATACACACCTAAAATAAAACACACCCTCCTATAAACACACATTCTCTGCATCCAACATACACCGAAAAGACATAACACGCATACATACATTTTCAGAGACCCAAAACTGAAATATATCCTGCGCCCAGTTTCGCTTCACCATCCAGCCGAACTGGGGGAACATCTCTATCCTCCTTAGGACTGTAGGATCGTAGGCGACGTCAGGATAGCTGTTGGTTGAGAAGGCGTTGACGTGCGTGATGGTGGGATCTGCGTCCAGGAGCCAGGCCGTTTGTTGGAAATAGCTGGGGGAGAGGCGGGTGGTGTCAGTTAAGGGTGATGGGGTAGGGATTGGTGTCACTTAGGGATGATGGGATTGGGAGTGGTGTCAGCTAAGGGTGATGAGTGTGGCAGTGGTGTCAGCAAGAGTAATGAAGATGGTAGTGATGCTACTACTAGTAAGGCTTATGAGGATGGTAGAGTAGTGTCTGTAAGAGTGATGATGATTTAACTACTATCAGTAATGCTAATGAAATAAACTGTTTATAAATACGCTGTACAGTAAATATGATTCGAAACATTCGATCCACCATAACACTAATAACGACACAGACGCCAATCGCAACAACCTAATAGCACAACAGCCAAAAAAATAATAATAAGAAGAAGATGAACCTCACGATAAGAAATCAGGCGAGAGCAGCAAATCGTCTTCTAAGATGATAGCCTTGTCGACTCCTGGGAAGAAGTTGAACACGTTGTGAACGGAGAAGCTGGGGAGGGAAGTCAGTGTGAACAAGTTTGATGTAAACAAAAACAAAACAAAAAAAAAAAAAAAAAAAAAAAAAAAAAAAAAAAAAAAAAAAAAAATATATATATATATATATATATATATATATATATATATATATATATATATATATATATATATACATATATATATATACATTTATATATATATATATATATATATATATATATATATATATATATATATATATATATATATATAAGCGAGTGTGTGTCGTGTGGTATTGGTTGTTTGAACATGTCTTGGATTTTTAAATGTGATTTTTTTGTGTGTGTTTTTTTTTTATTTGTTTAATACGACGATGGATATTTATATAAATAAGTACTGTATCGGTTCTTATGATATCTGGGGAGGAATAATACGATAAGGGAACAATTAATTGCTTTTACCGGAAATGCATATTCAGGAGTGTAGTGCTGCCCTTCTCGCCCTGAGGTCGGTGGATTAGCACGTCCAACCTGTACATTGAAGATGGAGATGAGATAACGAAGAAGGCAAAGACGGAGGCAAAAAGCAAGACTGAAACGAGGACAAAGACAAAAACGAAGACGAGGAAGAAGACGAAAAGATGGAAACGAAGACGGAGGCGAGGATATAGACGAGGAATTCGACGAAGACGACGGAGATAAAGACAGAGGTGAGGACGAGGACGTATGTGAATACGGAGGCGAAAACGAAGGAGACAAAGACAGAGGCGAAGACGTAATCGAGAAAGAAGACGATAGCAGATGAAGAAGACGAGGACGTAGATGAAGACGGAGACAAAGACGAAGGCGAAGACAAAGTAGCAGAGGACGAAGGGATGACGAAGATGGAGACGAGAGCGATTACGAGGGAGAAGAAAGCGGCGAAGACGAAGTAAACAGAAAATCAAGTATCTTACTCACAAAGTGAAATCAGATCAAACCAACATGACCAAACATTTGAATAAAGAAAAGTAAAATGTTTACCATGAAATAAATCGCAGAATAAAGAATACAAAAAATACATAATCAAACAGATAAAAAAATGCACGACATACATATAAGCAAACTGAACACAAACAACGCTTTTTAAACGCCCCGGCTCACCCGAACAACTTCGCTAAGCGTATAATCTCCTTCTGAGGTCCGTCTATAAGAACAAGAATGGGTGTCTGGGCTGCCCCTGGCGTCTCGAGGAGGTTCAGAAGCTGCCTTGAAAGTAAACAAGAAAAATTAAGGAAAAATAGATTAAAAGTGAATAAAAAAGGCATGAAATAACAGTTCCATGATATAGCTATAGACATACGCCCGGTTTGTTAAATTTGTGCGAGACCCGACCAAATGAATATTCGTTATATGGGCATGCATATACACAGAAAGAAATACATATCTATCACTCTACATATTCATATCTACCGGATAGATAGACAAATAAATGTACACCTATCAGAAACAAAGACATGCATTTACCTCAGTGTCTATGCATGCCAATGTATATGAATATTCACTGGGCCTCTCACAATTTTAACAAACCCGCCAATAGGGTAAAGATACACGTCTAGTTAGTATGCTCATTACTGTAGGATCATTTTCTTACTACTAACCTGTAGAAGTTGAAAGGTTTGATGGCTGTCAACATGGCCACGGGGATGACTTCACGCATCTTGATCTTCGGCTGCAGGTATTGTGGAATTTGTTATTTTGATTTTCTTTGATGGAGGGAGAGAGAGAGAGAGAGTGGTGGAGAGAGAGAGAGAGAGAGAGAGAGAGTGATGGAGATGGAGAGAGAGTGTGGTGGAGAGAGGGA